CATGACCTGAGCTGAAGGCAGTCATTTAACCAACTGAGCCACCCAGGCGCCCTCTCTCTCTCTCTCTCAAAATAAAGTAAAATCTTGAAAAAAGAAATGGAAAGACATTCTGTGCTCATGGATTAGAAGACCAAACATTGTTAAAATGTCTATACTACCCAAAGCTCAATCTACACATTTAATGCAACCCCTATCAAAATACCAACAGCATTTTTCACAGAGCTAGAACAATCCTAAAATTTGTATGGAACCACAAAAGACCCCAAATAGCCAAAGCAACCCTGAAAAAGAAAAGCAAAGCTGGAGGCATCACAATTCTATAATCAAAACAGTGTGGTACTGGCACAAAAATAGACACACAGGTCAACAGAACAGACAAAAAACCCCAGAAATGAACCCACAACTATACGGTCAATTAATCTTGGTCAAAGCAGGAAAGAAGATCCAGTGGGAAAAAGTCTCTTCAACAAATGGTGCTGGGAAAACTGGACAGCAACAAGCAAAAAAATGAAACTGGACCACTTTATTACACCATAAACAAAAATAAACTCAAAATCGATGAAAGACCTAAATGTGAGACATGAAACCATAAGAATTGTAGAAGAGAACAACAGCAGTAACTTCTTTGACATGGGCAGAAGCATCATCTTTCTAGATGCCTCCTGAGGGAAGGGAAACAAAAGCAAAAATAAACTAGTGGGACTTCATCAAAATAAAAGCCTTCTGCACAGTGAAGGAAACAATCAATAAAACTAAAAAAGCAACCTTCAGAATGGGAGAAGATATTTGCAAATGACATATCTGATAAAGGGTTAGTATCCAAAACACCTAACAAACTTATAAAACTCAACACCCCATAAGCAAATACTCCAATTAAAAAATGGACAGAAGGTGGCACAGTTTGTTAATAGTTGGACTCTTGCGGGGTGCCTGGGTGGCTCAGATGGTTAAGCGTCTGCCTTCGGCTCAGGTCATGATCCCAGGGTCCTGGGATCGAGTCCCGCATCGGGCTCCCTGCTAGGCGGGGAGCCTGCTTCTCTCCCTCTGCCTCTCTCTCTCTCTCTGACTTTCATGAATAAAATAAATAAATAAATAAATAAATAGTCGGACTCTTGCTTTTGGCTCAGGTTGTGATCTCAGGGTTGTTGAGATCGAGCCCCACGTCAGGTTCCATGCTCAGCACGGAGTCTGAGTGGGATTCTCTCCCTTTCCCCCTCCCTACTGTGCTCTCTCTCTCTCCCTCAAATAAATCTTTTTTTTTTAAAAAATGGGCAGAAGATATGAACAGACATTTTTCCAAAGAAGACGTCCAGATGGCCAACAGACACATGAAAAGATGTGTCACTCATCATCAGGCAAATGCAAATCAAAACTACAATGAGTTATCACCTCACATCTGTCAGAATGGCTAAAATTAACAACTCAGGAAACAACAGATGTTGGCGAGGATGCAGAGAAAGGGGAACCCTCTTATACTGTTGGTGGGAATGCAATACTCTGGAAAACAGTATGGAGGTTCCTCCAAAAGTTAAAAATAGAGCTATCCTACAACCCAGGAAATGCACTACTAGGTATTTATCCAAAGGATACATAGTGATTCGAAGGGGCACATGCACCCCAATGTTTATAGCAGCAGTGTCCACAAGAACCAACCTATGGAAAGGCCCAGATGTCCATCGATAGATGAATGGATAAAGATGATGTGCTATACATATACAGTGGAATATTATGCAGCCATCAAAAAGAATGAAATCTTGCCATTTGCAACAACGTGAATGGAACTGGAGGGTATTATGCTAAGCAAAATAAATCAGTCAGAGAAAGACAAATGCCATATGGTTTCACTCGTATGTGGAATAAGAAACAAAACAGATGAACATAGGGGAAGGGAAAGAAAAATAAAATAAGATGAAAATTGAGAGGGAGGCAAACCAAAAGAGACGCTGAACTCTAGGAAACAAACTGAGGGTTGCTGGAGGGGAGGTGGGGGGGATGGGGTAACTGGGTGACCGGCATTAAGGAGGGCACTTGATGTAATGAGCACTGGGTATTATATACAACTGATGAATCACTAAATTCTACCTCTGAAACTATTAAAAAATTTAGATTTATTATGAACTACAATAAAATACAAACAAAAACTTTCCAATTTTTTCCCAGAATACCAACTGAAGTAAGTAATTTAAGAAAAGATTCCTGAAAATGCAAATGGACCTGAGTGTCCCAGGGCAGTACAATCCTAATTTTTAAACAATGTGCAGGGGTCACTACGAACCCCGTGTCACCAGCAAAACCTGTCAACAATTTGAATGTTTTACTTAAAGTGGAAAAGCAGCTTGCAGTGACATCAGCTTTAGAAAATGAAACATCTGTAAAGCATGAAAATACATCTTTAAAAAAAGTTAAAAATGGGCAGAAGACATGAATAGACATTTTTCCAAAGAAGACATCCAGATGGCTAACAGACACATGAAAAGATGCTCAACATCACTCATCATCAGGGAAATACAAATCAAAACCATGATGAGATACCACCTCACACCTGTCTGAACGGTTACGATCAACAACGTAAGAAACAACATGCACCCCAATGTTTATAGCAGCGTTATCTATAATAGCCAAATTATGAAAACAGCTATATGTTAACTAACTGGAATTTAAATAGAAGCATAAAAAAAAAGACAGCGTGGTACTGACAGAGGGTTAGATATATAGATCAACAGATCAGAGTAGAGTCCAGAAATAGATCCACAAATATGCCAACTGATTTATGACGACCTGCAAAAGCAATTCAAAAGAGAAAAATGATCCTTTCAATAAATGGGATTGGAACAAATGGAATTCCATATGCAAAATAATAATCCTCAACCTAATCCTCACCCCTTATATAAAAATTAACGCAAAAGAGATCATAGGTCTAAATGTAAAACCTAAAACTATGAAACTTACAGAAAGGAAAAAAAATCATGACACAGGATCCACAAAGAGTTCTTAAATATGACACCGAAATCACCATCCATAAAGGAAATAATTCATAAATTGGACATTTTCAAAATTAAAAATTCTTGCTCTGTGAACAATACTGTTATGAGAATAAAAAGACAAACCACACAAACTATGTATCTGACAAAGGACTTGCACACAGAATATATAAATAACTCTCAAAGCTCACTAGTGAGAAAACAATCCAATTTTAAATGGGCAGAAGAGTTGATTGAACACTTCATCAAAAAGGATACACAAAAAGTAAATAAGCATATATAAAGATCTTAAACATCATTAGCTATTAGTGAAACCCAAATTAAAGCCATGATGAGATACCAACTATACTGCTAGAATGACTAAAATTAAAAATACTGACAATACCAAGTGCTGACAAAAATGTGAAGCAACTGTAATTCTTATACATTGCTGGTGGTGATGGTGGAAATGAAAAATGATTCATTCTGGAAAACAATCTGGCAGATTCTTAAAAAGGCAAACATACACTTACCATATGACCCAGCAATCCAATATTTATTCTAGAGAAATGAAAACCTATGTTGACACAAAAACCTGTGTATGAAGGTTTAAAGTAGTTTTACTCATAATTGCCAAAAACTGGAAATAATTCCAATGTCTTTCACCAGGAGAATGGATAGATAAGCTGTGGTACATCAATACCATGGAAGACCACCCAGCAATAAAAAGAACTGACACACACAGCTTGTCTGAATCTCCAGGGAATTATACTGAGTAAAAAATATCCTCAGTTTCAGAAGGTCACATACTATATGATTTGATTTTTATCACATTCTTGAAATGACAAAATTCTAGAAATGGAGAATGGTAATTCCTAGGAGTCTAAGAAGGGGAGGATTGGAGAAAAGGGATGGATCTGGCTATAAAAGGGTAACATAAGGGATCCCTGCAATGCTGGAGCTATGTCTTGACCATAGCAAAGTCAACATCCTGGTCATGAAATTATACTATAGCTTTGTAAGATGTACTATTGGGGGAAACAGGTAAAGGATACACAGGATCTCTCTGTATTATTTTTATAATTGCACGTCGATTGATTATCTCAAAAGAACGTTTAATTTTTTAAAAAAAAACGTTACATACCACATGATTCCTTTTATATGACATTCTTGAAAAGATAAAACTGTTGTGACACAGAACAGATCTGTGGTTGCCTGAGGTTACAGGTGGGGAAGGACAGAACCATAAAGGGATAGCATAAGGCATGTTTTTGGCCTGATGAAACTATTCTCTATCCTATAGATTAGTTACACGCATCTGTATTCATGAAATGCCTTCATCTCAGCACTGACCTTAACAATGCCAAATGTGTTCACATTTATTGTACTGGACAACAACAAAATCAATATTCCTGCACACTAATTTAAAAAACATTTTTTTAGTGAAAGAAAAAAGATGGTTGGCTGTGAGCATCTGCAGGACTCTGTCTCTTGGCCAAATGAGAATCCAAAGTTGGACTGATAAAATTACTTCGGAAAAATGATTTCAAGAAAAATTTCAAGTTCCCTAAGACATTTTATTCCCAAATTACACCTTGACATTATGTCTCCAGCTCACTGAGGAATGCTCTAAGAAATACCGGCAGGAAACCAGGCTGTGGTTGAAGACAATTCCACCATCCACATGAAGACTCAGAAAAGAAATGCCATGGAAGGCAATTCCAGGAAACCTTTACTTCCCTGAGGACTTGGTGCGCTCTCTCCTGATGAGTAAGGTGAGCCAGCTTCCTAATTAAGTTTCCCTCTGGCAGCCAGAGGCTCGAAGAAGAGAAATCCGTAAGTCAATGTTAGTATCTGTCACACCCTAAGTCCTCCGCATGTCTACACTCTAACCTGGCCTTGCCGCTGTCTCTCATTCGCCCTGATCCTAATGCTTATTTACAAATAATTTCCTATCTTATGTCAGAAATTCCTACATAGCTCATCACATCCATGGTACCAAACAAAAAAAAAAGAGGAAGGAACAGACTACATACTTACCTGGGGTTTGGCCATTTCCTGCTCTTCTTGGGAAAAGGCAGAGATGTGCGAAGCCCGAGCTGGAAGAATGGAGAAGTGTACAGCATATGAGAGAACCCATCAGGCATATCTGCCCAGAATTATCTGCCTAGGAATCCCCTCACATGAGCTGGGCATGAGGCCACCCTGTGGAAGTTTGGGCAACCATGCGGTTTTAACAACCACCTGTGTATTCTTGACTCTTTTCCTCACCTGAGCTTCTAACACAAAAAGGTTTTTTTTCTATATATACTTGTGTACTGACCCAGAAATTGTATTTCCAGGTATTTCCTTTAATGAAATTATTCTAATACATCACAATTCCTCTGTAAGTACCTTCATCTCAGCACTGACTTCATGAATGCCAAAGTTAATCCTATATGACTCAAAATAAGAGACTAATAAGGAAATACAAGGGGTGAAATCCTACATAGCTATTAAAAACACCGTTGTATGGAACTGTATGCTTTAGTATCTGTGTACTTTTCTGCACATATATCTAAATTAAAAGTTTTTAAAATGTCACAGAATAAATTAAGCTGAATCACAGTAAAACTTCTAAATGAAAAAAAGGTAGGTTATAAAACTGCAGGAACCCATCTCAAACTATATGTGACATGTTTAAAAGACGCACACTCCTAATACACACCAAAAACTCTAAGAATGGACGTTTAAATGTAGGGGGATAAAATGAATTCCTTTTGATTTTCTTTTCCTCTATTTTTAATTAATCTGTAATTCAAATGTGCTAGTATTTGTTAAACGCCAAGAAAACTGAACTTTTAAAAACTGTCATCCTCCTGACGTTTTAAGCCCGACGATCCCCCCCCCCCCCCGCCACCAGACCCTGCAGCACCAAGCCTCGCCCACCCCACCCCCAAACCCCAAGCTCTAAGCTCTGAGGTGAGTCCTCTCAGGTGCCTCTTCCTTCTCCTCACCTCACTGGGGCCGGCTTGCCCAGGAGCCAGAAGGAAGCCTTCGGGTGCAGATTCACTTCGGCTGGAGCATTCACACCAGGCCCCTACCTGGGGGCGTGGGCAAGGGGAGAGGGGCACAGGGAGAGGTGGGGCGCGCCTAAGGAGGGACCTGAGGAGTGCGTATGAACCCTTAGCGCAGGTCACTGTGCTGGAAAATGTGTAGAAGTCAGCGTTTAACAAGCCCCATTCAACCCCGACTAGTACCATAACTTTGTCCACCATCGTGCGCACAGACCTTCATTCGGTCTCCCATCACTCACCCCACAACTCCCCACATCAATGACCGCCCCCCCACATCCCCCTTCCTTCGTTCCCCCCAGAACTCCCCATCACTCAGCCCACCACCTCTAGCACTCGCCCTCTCAACCCCTCTCCCTCTCTCTCTCTCTCTCTCTCACCCTCTCGACAATAGATTTTCTGCTCACTGCAGAGGAGACCAGTACAAGACCTGGCCCTAAGAAGCACTTCCGCTTCGGGACCAAGTCGGGCTCCGCAGCCCACAGGGCTGCAGCAGCTGGGTGTGCGCACGCTCAGTGGGGGCTTTGAGCCCGCGTCCGCCAATAGTCAACACCGGGCCCCCTCCCGCCCCCCTCCCGCCGGCCCCACGCGAACGCGGCGGGGCCGCGGCGCCTGCGCGGAGGGAAGATGGCCGCGCTCGCGCGGTCCCTGCTTTGAGATGGCCGCGCCCACCAGGGCTCTACACCTCGAGGGCTGCCGTGTGGAGCAGGTGTTTACTTTGTTCGGCGGAGACCGTCATTCCCGAGACCTCGAAAAGCATTTTGCTTGTGGCGGGGAGGGGAACTGCCCAACTGAGGAAAGTTCTGGCAGGCCGGAATGTGGGGTCTTGAACCCGAAGGGCAGCGTCGGGTTCACAGGTGTAATTGAATAGGAAGACGGGATGCGTGGCCGAATCGCCCAGCGTGCACAAAGGCTGAGAGGTAGGGAAAGGTCACACTGGCTCCATCCACTGGCTAGAGCTGGGAGTTTTGAAGGACGGCATACAAACAAGCTGAAGGATAAAAAGAAACGGGGACCTAGGACGCACACACCCCGGGGTGAAGGGAATGTGTTCAGCAGTGGCTGACGGGTTGCTTTCTCTGGATGGGCAGGAACGAAATCCTTTCGTCGGAGGTGACAATTTGGCTGACCAAAAGGAGCCGGCCCCACAAACAGCCGAAGCAAAGAGCTTTCTGGTGGAGGGCACGGCTGTTGCAAAGGCCCGGAAGTGGGACCCAATTCGGCGTGTTGGAGGAATGGAAACTGGCAGTGTGTTGGGAGCGTAGGAGGTGTGAGGGAGGGAGAAGTGGGTGGGGGGCCAGATGCCGTAGGGCCTCCTCTGCCAAGAACAGAGCTCATGCTTCACTCTAGACAGAATGGGAAGCCATAAGAGGGATAAGATTTTTTAAAGACCCATCAGAAGCAATCTCGCATTCTTGTTTATTGCGAGTCTTGCACCACTAGAACATGAGCTTCACAGGGATTTGCTTAAGCATCTCCTGTATGACAGACAGTATTCTAGACATTGGGAATATAGCAAGGAAGAAGCCAGAACCAAACAAACATGATGGAGACAACCTGGTTTCAAACCCCTACCTAGGAGCTTTGTAACTAGGGCAGAACTCTTCTCTTCCTCATCTATAAAATAGGGACGATGACAAATGAACTGATAATTGTAAAGACTTAGAACAATGCTTGGCACATAGCAAGTGCTACATGTTTTAGTATTATTATTTAAATAAGATCAGGCATCTATATGTATTAAGCTTTTGTTAATAAAAAGGAAAAAATTCAAAGATAACCTGCAGGCTGCTTTGGAGAACGACAACAGAGGGCAAGGGCGAAAGCAGGAAAAACAGTGTGGCTTCTGCCAATAGGCCCAGCAAGTGATAATGGGGGCTCAGACCTCGCTCAGTATCTCCTGTGTGCCACACACCGTGTGAAGCACATGATATGACCTGCCTCACTCAGTCCCCACTATCTGCGAACAGTCCCATGGCCTCCACTTGTCAGAGGAGGAAACTGAGTCCCAGAGAGACTAAGTAACTTGCCCAAGGTCACACAGTTTCCCAAGGTTGGATCCTTAACTTCTACCCAATAATATTCTTCTTTTGTTTATTCACTATCCCACAGAACTTCCAGAAAGTATCAGCGGGTCCTCATCCCAGAACCATTAAAACTAGCCAAGGAATGTTTTTACCAGAAATCTCGATGGAGCTTCTTGGCAGACAAAGCAAAGAGAGAAAACAGAGGAATAGCTCCTATCTCTTGCTCCCTGAAGGATAAGCACTTCTTGGCTACAAAACATGTCCGTTCTCTCTGAATGCATTCGAAGGTGGGAAATAGGAAGGCTGGACCTGTAGGGCTCATCCCAGCCTGGCCTCTTCTATCTTAACAAACATCATTCCCCCACCACTTTGTACACACACACACTCCCCTGTGTATAGAGAGGATCCTTTAGGGTTGGTGGCTATTGGGGTACAGTGATTGCCAGCTCCAGAAATGTCCCTGAGCCAGTGATACAGCCCCTCAAAAACTGTCCCAGGGTTCACAGTGCACATCCACAAGCTCTGTGAGACCAGCTTTTCTGCGCTGAGGAGCGAGGCCTCCCACTGTGTCCTGGGCATCTTCTGCCATCAGTCTCTGCAGGTGCAACCTCCTCATATAACAGTCTAAGCCACGGGTAGCTAGGTGAAGGGGTATGGGAAGCTGACAGTAGCTGGTACCACCACAGAGTCTCTACAAGGTGACACTCCCACCCACAGGTCCCCCACCTCACCAGTGAGTCATCACCACAATTGTTCTTTTTTTTTTTTTTTTTTAAGATTTTATTTATTTATTTGACAGAGAGCGAGCGAGAGCAGGAACACAAGCAGGGGGAATGGGAGAGGGAGAAGCAGGCTTCCCGCAGAGCAGGGAGCCCTATGTGGGACTCGATCCCAGGACCCTGGGATCATGACCTGAGCCAAAGGCAGACGCATAACGACTGAGCCACCCAGGCGCCCGCACCACAATTGTTCTTAAGATACATTTCATCAAGGGGTATCCGGCTAGCCCAGTTGGTAGAGCATGTGACTCTTGATCTTAGGGCCAGGAGTTCAAGCCCCACACTGGGTGGAGAACTTACTTTAAAATAAAAGATACATTTCATCAAAACTACAGAAGTGGGGCCAATTGTGAGCAGATTTGGGACCATAAGGCAGCAGGTGAGTTTGTCAGAGCAAAAGCACACAAGCCACTTCTCTGGTGACCTTGAAGCTAGCATGCTAGCCCTGAACTACCTGCTTCCAAGAGAGGAATCCACTTCCATTCTGGTATTTGTAGTATACCATCACTGGTATATGAATCCTGAACAATATGTCAGAATTTACTGTCTTGGCCAATGCGAGTGTCACTAAATGGGAGACATATGGGACAGGCAGGGGTGAATAATGGCGAATGAAGGGCAGATTGGGAGTTAATGGGGGCAAGGAGAGACAGAGGGTGTTGGGAGGGAGGTGAATGAATAGAGTGGAGTCAAAGGGGGTAGTGTGGAGTTGCACGACGGAATGACCATGCATTCGATTTTGAATTAATTGGAGATTATGGATGAGACTGAGTAAATGATGGGAAAATGAGGCACGGGCTAAAGTGACCAAAAGTGAAAGTGGGAGCAGACTGAGTGAATGGAGCAATTCAAGGAGGTGAACATTAATGGACTTGATAAAGCAGGAGAGTGCAAGTTGTTTTGAGCACTAAGGACCAGAGTGCGAATAAACGATGGTTTATGGGGCATGTTAAGAGTGAGAGAGGTGAATTTAGGGGGAATGTGGGAGTGAATGGAGGTAATGTGGGGCATGGAGGGAAGAATGGGGAGTACAAGGGACAGAAGAGGGACTGAAGACGTATACATGGTAGAATGTGAGTATGTGAATCAGGCTGAGTTTCGAGTGGCGACACTCTAAGGGAGAAATGGAGTGGCTAGAGGTGAATGAGGGGCAGACTGGGATTAGATAGGGGTGATGCGGGGCTCCAGGCATGTCCAGGGATCCCGGTATCAATCAGTCCAGGTGAAGGAGCTGCCGCATGTGCCTGTTGGGCAGAGTGAGAGAGAAGAGAAGCAAAGAGAAGAAGGTGAGTCACTGTGGGTATTGTGAGCCAAAGGGAAAGACGAAGGTCACATGGCCCCAAGTGAATAAAGTGGGGGAACATGGGGCCCAGGGAATTCAAGGCAGAGTGTGACTGAATGAACGGAAACTAGACATGAGATCAGGCGCAGAACGGGGTGGTAAGAGGGAACAGGGGTCACACAGGAAATGAGTTTCAATGAATGAGATCATTTCGATGAATGAGAGGCAGTGAGTGAGTGAGAGTAAATGGAGTCAATGAAGAGAAAGTGAGGAATGGGGCTGAGCAAGCAGAGAATGAGAATCTGCAGGTAACTTGGGCTAGTGTTTGGGAGGAATACGGGGAATGGGGGTAAACATGGGAGCAGCGCTGGAGAGAATAAAGGTGAAGAAAGGGCCGCAAGAGAGAGAGTGAGGGAGAGAGTGAGGCCCAGAGTCCATGAAGCAAGCTGAAGCGTGGGCCACGTGAGAGTGAACGGGAGTCACTTCGTGCGGTGTCAAGAAGTGGAGGGGAAAAGTAGAAAACGAGAGTCTGAGAGTGAATGGAGGTGAAGGAATACGACATGAGAGAATTGGGGCCATGTAAGGAGAGGGTTAAGGAATTGTGGCAATATGAGGCCCAGCGTGAACGAAGGGTAGTGGCCCAGAGACAGTGTAAGTGAACTGGGGGGGGGGGGGGTAGGGATGAAAAGCTGGAACAAGAATGGAGGTGAAGCAACAGGAGAGGGCGCATCTCTATGTTGTGTGTCGTGTATAATATGTAACGGAGGGCAGAGTGTGATTGAATGGGGTGAACGTGGGCCAGATTCCAGGAAATTAGCGTGGAACTGTGCATAGTAAGTGAAGTGAAGGAGGTGCCGAGAATGGGTAAATGGAGGTAACGAGGGGCAGAAGGCGAGGGCATGGTGGCCATATTGTGCAGAGCGTGAGAAATCGAGGTGGTAGGAGGCACAATGTAGTGAACAGAGCTGGCTGCTGAGCAGAGTGGGGGGGAATGGAGGTGACGAGGGGCAGAGTGAGTGGAAATGGAGGGAACCAAGTGGTGGAGCATGATTAAAAACAGTGGAGTGGCACTGTGTTAAGGAAAGTGGGGGAATATGGGCTGATCGTGAGGCCCAGGGCCTGAGTCCTATCTCTGAGTCTCCAGCCCCTCTCTTCCTGCATCTCTTTCTGACATCTCAGGGTTTCTCCCTGGTTTTGCCTCCTCCCATCTTTGTGCATAGGTCAGTATCTTTCTTTTCCCTTGTGTGTCCGTCTCTAACAGAGGTGGCGCTTGGAAAGACAGTGAGCCCTCTGGCTTCTGTGTTCCAGAATCTATTACATGGTATTTGCTCATAGAGCCCAGAGGTCCAGAATGCCCCTAGTTCTGAACAGGACAGCATTTGAGTCTGGAGCGAAGAGTTGGCTAGGAGGGCCTATGCATGTTAGAATGCAGACCT